GAAAAGGCAGGGGGGGGGGGGGGGAGTGCAGTCAGTCGGCCATGTTGACGTAGTAGATATAATTTGTTTCCTCAACTTTAGTAGTCTGTTTTTTCGTGCGTGTTTGAGTGTCGCAGACTTTTTGTACACGTCATATTTCAGGCACAACGTAAGCGAAGAAAAATGTGGGATATTTGTGTAGAAAGTGTGTGGATATATACACCGAGGAGGAGAAAATTATAGTGGCGACATTAGTATAGATGGAGGTGAAGGGGGTAAGGAAAACAACATTAACGCAGAGAATGTAAGGTTATCTCAAGTTCGTAAGAGAGATAATAAATAAAACGAATTAAAGATTGACTTATCTTCGATCTATTTATTATCAGCGGCGTAGAAGTGTTCCTTGAGTATGTGTTTAAAATAGCTCGCCGTTGAAACGTGAGTGGAAGCCAGCTCCATTTAGTTCACATTGTCCTCACGTATGTCTCTATTAATATTATATCTAAGAGCCAAGTGGGAGAGGTTATTGAGAGCTGCTGCCATCATTTGGTAAAATGGACAACTAATTACAAATAGCGTCATTGGGATTTATTGCCCACGATTCTTTCACACACGAGAGGAAATAAAATAGGGATAAAGTATTGAGGCGAACCTGGAATGAGATACTGCGCAAATGAGCGAATATTCTCATAAAAGGAACAGCTGTTTCTCCTTTTTTACTTCCTTGGTTATTTGTTCGTGCATACTTGAAAGTCTGGCGTTAGTGTACTAGTCTCTTGTAGTCGTAGTTGGTTTACTAGATGTAGGTGCTCCTAATAAAATATTGTAATAGGAAATATAATACTTTGGACAAAGATTCATATCGTGTTTACCAATTAGGTATGTAGAAAGCAAAAACTACATATTATGTAACTAAGTGTTACAAACTACGCGTAGTCAGGGCCGTTCTACGGCGGGGAAAGCAAGGCCATTGCCCTACGTTCTGCGCGTCGACATTAAGATGTAGGAAATATTTCGTGCACAGCTTCGCCTGATTAGCCCAAGGAGTAAAAATGGAGCGCTGCCTTTTAGGGGAAATGATCTAACAAAATATATACAGAGTTGGGAAGTACTTTTAGTAATTGTTACGGATCTGGTAGGGCTATTTTGTTTTTTTCACTTGCTCGTTATTTGTTTCCAATATTTATCTGCTATCAGTCCAATTTAGAATTTGAAAAGAACAATACCAATTTAAAAGTGATCTAATTGTTGATAGCTGTGTCGTTTTCCCACGTTTGTATCTCACGCGTGTAAATGGCGCCTTGGCAATGAAGTTGGTATCTTATACGTTGTAGTGTGTGGAAGAAAATACGAAAGAAAGATGGGAAATAAATGGGAATAACAGTAATTGGAGTCCACTGAAAGGAGAGTTTGCTTGGTCTAAAAAGACCTACTTCCGAAGCCGGAGTGTTTGTGTATGTGCGCATGCGTCCTTGGTTTTTTATGCTGTATGTGTGAATAAAGGAAGGGCAGTATAAGGTCGGGGTTAGCGGAATGTCCCGCTTAAGGAAAAGTGTTTGGGGGAGGAGGGAGGTGGTATGGTTGTGTGCACAAAGATGAAGAAAGTTTCCTTCTAGTATTCAAGACTCGTCACCCCATTCAGAATGGAAAGAGAGAAAGAAAGCAAAGTGACAAAAATAGTATAAGAGGGAAAAGAAAAGAATAAAAAGAGTTTTCTGGTCCCTACTTCAAACATTTTTCTTTGACTGGTTTCATGAAGAAATGATGTTCCCAAAGTGTGAACTTGTGCCCCCAATTTCCTCCCTAAAATTACGCGGTTCATTTAGCCGAGATGGTTCTCCACTCTGAATCCATCAAACCAGCTTTCGCATCTCGCCACTGTATTTAATTTATCATTCGTAACATCAGATATGTATGGAAGAGCATTTCACTTCCCACTTCAGGGGCTGTCTTCATCTAAAATCATTTTTTTCACTAAAACAAGAACACAAAATGATTCTGTCGCACCAGTTGCATTGAAAGAGCCGGCGTTGCTCAGTGTCTTACCACGGATTGGACAACAGGACAACAGGGATTTGATCCCCGGCAGAGGTAAAGAACTTTCATTGTAGTCTGCATCCAGACCGGCTCTGGGGCCCACCCAGCCACCTATCAAATGGATTCCAAAGACCCTTCTCCAGTTGTGTTGCGTCTGACACCATCTAGCGCCGATGTCAAGAACGACTACGAGCTATAGCTTTCCCCCTCCTAAAGTCGCCACCATGGCGCGTAGCTGGTCCTACTTTATCAATTCTGTTAAGGCACACAGCCATTATCTTCAAAACGTGATGTTTCTGTTGATTATCACAAAGCTGAATACTTTAGAGTAATAAATAAAATAATCTGCATGTTTATAAGCTGTATAATATAACACTTTTAAGATGTATAATAATTTGTATTTTAGTGCAAGGATCGTCTTAAACAGCAGTTTTCATCATATACATCACCTTATTGATATATTTTTCTTTTTGGACATTAAACTAAAAATTGTGCTATTATCTATTCCTGAGTAGTTAATAGATGCTATTCGTATGAGCACATCTACACAGGGCCAGAGTCAGTTACCATGGTACCCACACAAAGCCCTTTTCCTCTATCAGAGAACTTTCAACACATTCAGATCGGTATCATTAAAATTGTTTTGTCGCCAAAGGTTGCAGCAGAAAACTTTTTATTTGCTTCGTAGATTTCTTTCCATCAAACTCCTGGATAAAGCCTAAAGAAGATTCGCTTCAGGAAACACTTTCAGTGTAGCCAACGTAAGTAAATTGTACATTTAAAGTAAGTACATTTAAAATGGGCAATAGTCTCTACTATCGAAAATAATCTTATAGAAATATGATGTGGGGGATGCTTACTGGTTTCATCTGAATCAGTAGGAATTATGAATAATTGACTCCATGAAACAGTTTTCTTTGTTTGTTTGTTTTTTTATAGAAACTGAAAGCTATTCACTTAGTCAAGAAATTTCTCCCTTATGCAAGTCTGGCAGTTTAGTTGCCGTGCTGACAAGAACACGCCATTGTCCCTGCCCCGAACTGGATAAATCCCGTCCACAGTCTCCTATCCTGTTCCGTGAGATCCGTTTTAATATTATCTTCCCATTTATGTCTAGATATTCCGAGTGGTCGCTTCCCTTCAGGCTTTCTTACCAGTTTTATGCACGCATTTCTCTTTTTCCCGCCCATTTGATCCACCTTGATTCCATCATCCAAACAATTAACGAAGCTCTCCATTTTCTCCGTGTAACATTTCATAACACGTTGGCCGTTATGGGGAAATGCCGGTAAACTTCTGCCAGACTACAGTTCACAGATCAGGAGAAAATCCCTGCTAGGAATTCGATATACGCGCATGCGCAAGATTTCGCTGTGAGTGACGACCCATCCTAAAAGCATTCGTTCCACAACCACTGAACGAACAACAGACGACAGGCTTTCATGTGTTCAAATGGGTACAGATTTAAGTTTACCTCACAGTGATTTAATCTAGCATATTATCGCAACACCCACAGAACACATTACAAGTGCGCTCACTACACGCTACTCTTAACTGCTTGATGTTTTCAGTCTGTATGCAGTAGAGTAAAACTCTGACGTATCGCACTTCCCACCAATAGCAGCCCTCTAGTCCAGCTGATAAGTAACATTCCCCCCGCACCGACCAGAAACGACTTCCACCAGCAGGGTTTTTCTCGTCATCTGTGGACAGTACACGGCCCAACAACCCACAAGACAGCCAACTTCAAACTCACCGCCGTGTAAACCTCAAACTATGTAACATCCGGTTTGTTGATACTAGTGACATCTGATGTTGGTTATCCGAGAATGATAACTTTTGAAATGTGTTTTTCCCTAAGGGTGTGTGTAAAGAGGTGAATTTCTTTTAACATATGTGCAGTGACATTATTAAAAACTGTACTGATGTGTATATCATTCTTATTAGTAGAACGTTACTACTCTCAGGTATAGATTAGAATAATATGGCATATCAACCAGTTCACTGTTTTCAATGCGTTATGTTGGTCGGCGTGTTCATTTAATGGAGGTGTGGTGTCATGTGATTTGAACGGATAAGAATGTGTAAAGGCTGCAAATCTTAGTTATAAAATGGAAGACTGTGAAATACTTTGTTTAGAAACAGGAACAACAGATGATGTTATTGATGTACTAAAGAAGTTTATTGACAAGGTAAGTTTGAAATGTCGACTAGTGCCGGAAGGTTTTATTTTCGTAACTGTCAGTGGATATATTTTGCGAACGGTTGTACGTGTTATACTGCTAGTTCCTTTGCCAGCTTATTCTATTACAGGCTATAGATTGTTCAGTACATGCAAGTTCATTGTTTGTGATGAATTTCTTTAAATGTTATGACTACGATCACTTCACCTCCACCCAATCGCCACTCCGTATAAATAATGTGTTCGGCAAATGTGTCTTTATTAAATAATCTAAGTAGACGTAGCTACAGAACAGGGTGTTGATTTCCAACCACGTGATACCATGCACATTTGTGAATATTACTAGATTAAAAACACTGACATGAATTAATATAGTCATGCCATTTCTTTTAGTAATCTAGCAATATTTATGGATGTATGCCAAGTGACAAGGTAGTGATTAAACGTCCTGACACGCTTTTCTGTATTTTAGATAAAAGTGAAGGAGAGTAGGGGTCATGCCCCCTCTGAGCTAAGCTATGCAAATTTATCCTAATCTGTACCTAGTTTGTAAGAAGCACTATGAGATAAAAACACTTTGAAGTGTGGTGGGGTAGGTGGAAAAGTATTTTCCACGACACTTATTTTGTTGGAAGTTTAAATTTGTTGAAATTATGTTTGTGAATGTTATCAAACTGTTATTTATTTATTTTATTCTGTGTTGATTTTGCTTCCTTTATCAGTTGGTGTTGTTTGTACATGTGTGTGTGTGTGTGTGTGTATGTATGTGTATGTGTGTATGTAGTTATTTATATTCATGTATTTTGCTTGGTTGAAAATAATAATTTATTTAACTTTTTTGTTCATATAATTTTTGCTGTTATGGTTAAGACATTTCACTTTTAGTTCATGTACCTTTAGTTCAAGTACCTCTTTGTGCAAGTTTTGGCTCTACTATAGTTAAATATCCATGCTACTGTGTATTATGATTTATTGTAGTTGTTTATTTTTTTAAAAAGCATGACTAGGATAGATCACTCTAGAATATTATCTGTTTTCTTACTTTGCTTGTGTAAGCATGCAAAATGTATGATACTGACATGACATGTAATTTTATTTGCTAGCACAATCAGTCGTTCATATTCGAAGATTTAAACCAAAATGGAAGACGTCAGAAGCTGTGGAGTTCTCTTTTTCATCACTTGGATAATTCAGCAGAAGTTTCATGTTGCAAATATTGCCTATCCTGCATACGGTTAATAAGGTATATTTTACTTTTCATATTTGACAATGATATCATATTTCACATAGCCTTAGACAAGGCTTCACAAATCTTGAGCACTGGGTCGTTATGGTGCCTAAAATTTTAATGTTTGTGGCCAGAATTGTTGGCGTATTTTACTTGAGGTTTTATATCTTTTCATACTATTATGTAACATTTGAAATTAGTAGCATGTACTTCCATTTTCATTCTGTAAGATGTCATCTTCAACATTGGCAAATAAATGTACATGTAGATGAATATCTTATGGGTTGTAGCACTGTGTAGTGTGGTTGAAGTTTACCAATATATCAGAGGTCCTTGCTGCCTTCTTCATTAGGATGATGAGTGAATCTCCAAATGTAATAATAAGTAGCCTCCCCATATGGGCTTGCTAAGTAGGATTCGAGGTTTACACGGTGGTGAGTACGAACATGGCTGTCTTCTGGTCAATTGCCCTGATGATGGAGGAAAGGTTGGTAAACTTGTACCAGATTACACGGTGCACCAACCCAGAAGACAACCATCTACATGTATGTTATTTCCATTTGTGATATGTGTGTATATTCTGGCTCCTAGGTTTTGTATGTAGTTGCTCATTTTATAGGTAAAAATAGATTACAGGCTAAAATTAACAGGTACATCAAAGACATTTTTGTTCATTACAAATTTCTGTAGGAATACGTAACCCTGAGCTGTTTTAGAATGAAATGTAGAAATGATAGTTTACATAGTCATTTTACAAGTGGGAAAAATGATACTGAAGATGGCTGTCTTCTGGAATGTTTCACAATGTAGTATGGTAAATATTGACAAATGTTTGAGAGGTGCTTACTGCCTCCCTCATCAGGGTGTTACTAAACGTCCTGGTCAAGTGGTTAACACTCTTGCTTCATCTTCAGGAGGTCCTGGGTTCAAATCTTGGCCCAGAGATAGCTATCCTGACTGAGGTTTTTCATGGTTTTCCTCATTCCTTCCAGGCAAATGCCAGTATAGTACCTTCAATTAGGCCATGACCGCTTCCTTCCACATCCTTTCCAATTTACTATCATCCTCTCATTTGACGCTATATAGTCTGAACTGCTGAAAAAGCGTCGTTAAATAAACCACAAATGTTATATCAAGGTGATATTATCACCAATCTACATAGTGCAACATTCCAGAAGACAGCCATCTTCAAACTCATTACATGACGACCTGAAATCTCATACGATGGAACTATATAGTGAATTTATACCTTTATCTGCAATAGTGACAAATGTTTGTTGATATATCTGACTCTGCATATATAAAACAACACTTTTTTCAGAGGTAGCCATTGCTTTTCTGTGTGCAGTGTTAGTAATAAAGACCATAGTATGTTTTTTAATATTAATATTCAGGTTTAATGTAATTTATGACACTATCACACCCAGTTCATTTTAGTGTCTGAATTACGTGTTGAGAGCCAGTGACGCTGCTTTCATGACAGAATACCTCATTGGATGTGCACAAAGAATTGTATGTAACAGCCATATATGGAATCTGAAGCTGATATATTTCATAAAACTGTATGTCTTTTTGTCATGTGCCCCTTGAACCCACTCAGCCACATGGTGTATTTTCTTAAAAATTAATAAGCTGTAAAACTGTAACATAGAAAAAATTTATGTATGTAAAATGTAACATTATTTAATTGTCCGGACTGGATACCCTTTTCATTATATAAAATTATTAATTCATTTACTTATAATAGCACATTTTTGTTAGCAGATTGGCCCTGTAAATCATGCTTATGTGAGACTTCCCTATTTGCAGACTAATTGTTAATGACTTGACATATGTAAGACTTGAGGTTCTCACAGCGGTGAATATGAAGATTTCTGTCTTCTGGGTTATTGCGCTGTGTAGTCTGGTCGATGTTAACCAACGTTTCAGAGGTCATACTGCCTCCGTCATCAGGGCGATTCATCGACCAGACTACACAGCGCAACAAACCAGAAGACAGAAATCTTCATATTCATCGCCCTGATGACGGAGGCAGTATGACCTCTGAAACGTTGGTTAACATCGACCAGACTACACAGCGCAATAACCCAGAAGACAGAAATCTTCATATTCACCGCTGTGAGAACCTCAAGTCTTACAAAGCAAGTACAGTCCACAGATCAGGAGAAAATCCCTGCTAGGAATTTGTTATACGCGCATGCGCAAGATTTCGCGGTCAGTGACGACCGATCCTAAAAGCATTCGTTCCACAACCACTGAACGAACAGCAGACGACAGGCTTTCATGTGTTCTAATGGGTACAGCTTTAAGATTACCTCACAGCGGCACAGCGATTTAATCTAGAATATTATCGCAACACCCGCAGAACACATTAGAGGTGCACTCACTACACGCTACTCTTAACTGCCTGATGTTTTCAGTCTGTGTGTAGTAGCGTAAAACTCTGACGTATCACACTTCCCACCAATAGCAGCCCTCTAGTCCAGCTAATAAGTAACATTCCCCCCCGCACCGCAACAGAAACGATTTCCCGCTGCAGGGCTTTTTTCCTGGTATGTGTCACAGTAGTACTCTGGCAGATATCAACTGTACTATACCATTCAGATTAAGTCAGTGAGAGTTAATTAGAAAAGCATCATCTTCCATATAAATTCACTCACCGATAATTCTACATTCTGAATCATCTAGGTAATCAGGCCATTTAGACAGATCAAGACTTTGGAGATTTCTATATCGTTTCAAAAATGCCTCAAGTATTGGCCTTTTGAAGTATGATTCAGAGAAAGGTAGTTTTAAAAGACGGGGGCTTGATAGAGATGTGAAATCCAAGTGTTTCTGGCATCCCCAAATTTCCCAGCATACGGCTCTCCAACGTTTACAAACTGCACAAAGAATTCTATAACAAGATTATTTAATACAAAACAAGCAAACAATACCATTTATTATGTATGAATGGGATTCAGAAAATGAGGGTCATAATCTCATGGGGTCTCACAAACAACTTCTTACGTTAACAAAAATTACTTAAAATACTAATTAAGTACAGTTATGGTCAGCAGTAGCAATGCTCACACATTTTTTGCATGCTTCCCTCCCACCAATGGTAGCGCACATGTTCTTGGACTCCCCACACTAGAAATGTCCTTATTGTGTAAGATTTGAGGTTTGCACAGCAGTGAGTGTGAAGATTTCTGTCTTCTGGGTCGTTCCGCTGTGTAGTCTGATTCATCGACCTGATGACGGAGGCAGTATGACCTTTGAAACGTTGGTTAACATCGACCAGACTACACAGCGCAACAATCCAGAAGACAGAAGACATATCTTTATTTTATATGCATATATGTCTGTTAAAGACTTTGCTGGCAAAAGAGAATAAAATGTTTTATTCTTATGACCACCATACATAGCTGAATGTGGGGCTATAAATGAATCTTCATGTCCTACAAGATTATAAGGAATTTCATGTGTAAAAAATCAAGCATTATTCGTGTTAACTGTTTTAAATATCCATTTTCTAAGCAGTAAATGCCTTGTATGTTTCGTCATTTGCAGCCGAGATAAGACTGGACTGAATGAACTGATATGTAATAAGTGGCTTGAGACTTTATTGCATCATGCAGGGCTGGTTCCACAGAAAGAAGCTTCCAGCTCGATAAATGAGTCGCCTGTTAATTATGAAGGTAATAATGACTTGTACTGTACAGTATGAGCCGGAATAGCTCAGTCAGTATAGTGACTAGCTACAGGCTGGAGGACTGGGGTTCATTCCCTGATGGGGGCAGAGGATTTTTCCTCTAGCCTCTGCATTCAGACTGGCTCTGGGGCCCACCCAGCCTCCTATCCAGTGGTTACAGGGGTCCTTTCCCAAGGGTAAAGAGCGGCTGGGGCGTGATGCTTACCACTCAGAGTAGACAACAATTAGACTTGAACAGAATTAACTAGTTGGTCTTTGTAATGGAGACCCACCATGTTTTCTTTGGTGGAAGAACTGGACTTTTAAATATTTACATAATTTTCAGCTGTATAGGGTGGATACTGCACCTTAATTATACATCTGCAAATTACTCTTATATCACTCAGGAAACAGCAGAGAATTTGGTGATTAAGGTTATAATTTTCACCAGATTAGCTGCCTACAGTTAATTTTTGTTCCTTGAAATTTGATTGAATTGTGACGTCACCACGTTGATCTGATAATGATCATTATATTACTGTAATGGGCATATGCAGTAATCTGTTCATATATTAATATCTTTGATAGAAGGAAAATGTGACTTTGTGAGTATATTTAGACACAGGAAGGTTCTGTGAAATGTAGGCAATAGATTCTTTCTTGTCCTTGTATTTAGATTTATGTGTTGTTTTGAAGGAGTTTCAATTTGATTTTTACTTAATGGCGTTCATTATTATAGTCTTGTTTCAGTTGTATTGTTTGTATTTTACAGTGAAGAGAGTATGTATTAAGAATGTTAGTATTTGAGGAAATTTATTTCTTTTTTCAGTGATGTTAGAGGCATTGAAATGTCTGTGTAACATTATCTTCCATAGCCCATATGCTAAAGCACTGAGTTCCAAGAATAATTCATTAGAGGGTGTTCTTATGCTACTCCGAACTTACAAGGATCCAGAGCTCCCTTATGAAATTAAGTTCTACAATGTGAAGGTCTTGTTTCTGATCACTGCGTTTCATGAAAAGGTTGCGCCTGATTTAAATAGAGAACTGCTGGTGTGTCTTACTGATATATTGGATCTCATTTTAAAAGAAGTGGAACGAGAAGAACATGATGACAAGGGAGAAGCTACATCTTCTGTTATAAAAATTACATTATATGTAAGTACACTGCTCATATTGAAGTTTATGTCTTATTTGTAGGCGAAGTGTCAAATTGTCGCCCTCGGTGGACTAGTGGATAGCTTGCTCACCACTGGACCCAAGGCTCGCAGGTTCAATCCCGGCCAAGGTCGATGGATTTTTAAGGGTGATAAAAATCCGTAGCACAACTTCTTTTGGAGGGGAAGTAAACCTGGCAGTCCCATGTTGTAGATTTACAGCATGTAAAAGAACCTTGGGAGCATTATACAAGATGTTTCGTAAGCAAAAGTCAGCGACCATTTCTCACCCAAGTCTCTCTCCTGATTCACTGCTTCACTGCTAGATGGCTCTAGCAGTCAAATCAGGAGTAAGTAGAAATTGTGCAGAGTTAGTGGGCTGTTCACTCACTACTCATAAATGCACACTTTAAAGACTGTGAAACCTCCGAAAGGAGGCGGCGATGACCTGCTACTGGGTTAAGCTACAAATAGATAGATAGACGTGTCAAATTGAGGGAGCAGCAGTTTTGAATCTGTATGTTCTGTCACCACAAAGAATGAAGTTAATTCTGTCTCCATTCTGGTATTGCTAAGAGTAATGTAAAAATCAGGGGTCACCAGCTGTATACCTGCAGGTATCGTGGTACCCTCAAAAGGGTTTCTGGATGTCATAAGAATTTTAGAATATCCGTAAGTAGTTTTAAATGTTCTGGTTTCTCAATTGCCAAAATAATTAACAATTGCATTATAATATGATTCCAGCATAAAACAGAACATCATAACTTATGTACATTTACAAAATTCCTCCAACTCAGTTTTGTTGAACATATAGAAATGATACATTTATCGCAGTCTTCATATATAATTATTTCCTTGGTTCTGTTTTATCAACAAATGTCTGTACAAGATAGAAGCACTGGTTTGGAACTAGAATCCTTAGTGTCGGCATAGTAAACTGATCCCTGTTACTTCTTTATTGTAAATCAGATAACATTAAGTTTGTGCCAATCACCCATAAGTTACACACAAACTTTTATTATTTTAAATGCTGCAGCCTATATCATTGTCAACGCAGTAACGCTTGTCTCAAATTCACAGGAGCTTAAGGACTGAAAATAAGTAAACTTTTGAGACAAAGGAATTTGTAACAAATGTCAATTCTCGGTAATATTCTAAACTCACTTAATGGCTATACTGTTTTAAAATGCCAATCATAATGGCTATGCGGTCTGAGGCGTGGGCCTTGTGCGCTTGGACGCTGGGGCCGCGGGTTCAAATCCCACTCAAAGCATGGATGTTTGTCTGCGTCTCTCTGTGTTGTGCTGTCCTTTGTACAGCTAGAGGCCTTACAATGGGCTGATCACTCATGCAAGAAGTCCTACCAAATGTCTAATAGATCAAGAAATCTCCAAAGCAGGCAGCCAAGACCCACACTGGGTCGTAGAGCTGCAGAAAAAGAAAACTGTTTTAAAATGTGTTTTGAATTACAAGAAGATAATGGTGTCCATGATTATCAGAACAATGATCATTATACAGGGTGATTCAAAAGGTTAGGGCCAAACTGAAGGAGCGTATAGAGGAACTCAGAGAGAACAACTTTCGAATAGGAATCCATGTCCTCCAAAGTTATCCTGAGTCAGTCGAGGCCATTGAAGGTAGGGACGTCTGATAACATACCGCTGAAATAATCACAGCCTAGAGGCCTCTGTAGAATCTGACAGGATACGTGTGATTCAAAATGAAGCTAGTAGGAGAATAGCAAATTACGATTATTTCAGCGGTATGTTATCAGACTTCCCTATCTTCAATGGCCTCGACTGACTCAGGATAACTTCGGAGGACGTGGGTTCCTATTCAAAATTTATTCTCTCTGAGTCCCTCCATAAGCTCCTTCAGTTTGGCCCTAACCTTTTGAATCACCCTGTATATGTGGCTCATGCCACTCATCTGTCAGCCTTTTGTCCAGTAATTGAATGATGCATTCATTTCTGGAAATGTGATTTTGCGAGAGAAAATGTTTTCATGTCTGTAGGACAATCAGGTGGAATTAGCTTGTGGGGTGCTGCAGACTTTGTTCAATCTGACTATGAACTCCGCGAAACAACATGCATTTGATGATGAAATGGCTGAGTTTCTTCGCCTTGCTTCCATTCTTCATGATTTCCTGCTTTGTGCAACACAGCCGTGTGAAAAACAATATGAACTTCACAGGTATGTTATGTATTCTAATTATAATTGTTACATGTTAAGTTTGTGTTTACATATACATTTGGAGAATCACATTTTTCTACTACATATGGAGTAAAGATTTTGTGATACATGAGATGATATTGATTCTGCTGACAAAATTAATTTTTTGTGTGTTCTTTATATGATTTGCATGATGAAGTGAATACACATAGGGCTGGTTGTCTGTCTGTGTGCATGATTCAACTAGAAAACAGGCATATGGTTTTAGATTAAATTTGGTATGGTCGTATGTCATGCCTTTCAGTTTCCTACACACGGTGGGCAAACAGACTTGTGAAATTGGCACTAGTGTCACTTGCAACAATGCCATACAATGATTTCTGGGTATAGATTTTAAGAAAATGAAAGAAACTTTTTGTATTAATAATTTTTGTAATATAATATAACAACATGGCGGCTGCATGAAAAAGTTTCGACTTGAACATCTGTATGAGTCCAGTATGCTACCACAGAGGTGACGCACATTATGACGTATCAGTATTGATTCATATTAAGACGATTTTAAGACCACGTGTAAACTACCATTGTCTAAGTGTGGTAACTGACAGTAGTTTATTAATAATTCAGAATTTTTAAAGGGCACTTATGTATTCTGGTACAGATTAGATCTTTCCAGTCTTGTTAAGTCATCCCAAGGGTCATTTTTCTACCAAGGTTGTTTTATGAATAGTTGTATTTGTTGGCAGAAATGTAGTCAATCTTCTGATGAATCTACCAGAAAATTGCTATGAGAAGCTAATGACCCCTGTTCAGAGAAGTCTGCATGATACTGATAAAGGCCCTGAGTATGATGGCAAGAACATGAAAGCAGTTGCTGTACTTTTGGACTTTCTTAGCTATAAATTGGACTCGGCAGAACAGGTACGTAGTACTATACGAGGTGCGATCGGAAGGTTTCCAGACTGTGTCAATAGAGGGCGAACCGGATGTAGTACGAGCTTCTGCCGCTAGGGGGTGCGGCCTACATTCATAGTGAATCAGTGTGCCAGCCGGCATCATCGAATTAGCATTTGTTTCTTAGTTACGGGCGTTTTGGTAGTGCATTACACCGACTCGTACAGGAATAAAGTAATTCATTGCCTACCTATCTCTTAAAGCACGCAAAGTCGTATAATTTTGCAAGATATTTCGTTAAGATTGACGTTTCATGCATTTAAAGACCCTACCTCAACTACACAGGCGAACTGTCCAATGACAAGGTAATTATGAATCACGAATTGAGAAGCTGCTGTGGCCAGTTTTTTTATCACGAACTAGGGAGTCACAATTACATGCTATCGGACGAAATTCTTACAAACACGCCACGACATTCTTCCTTATATTTAATGCCCTGTAAAATGTAGATAAATTTTTAGTATCATACAAGCTGCTTCTCGAATAGTTGATAAGTATCCAGAAATAGCAGTTCATAATTATTTTTTATTTTTATTTTAGTGTTCTGTCTGACGACAGGTCCATATGAACAGGATCCTTCGATCCTTTTCTCGGACTGGGACCTGTTCATATACGTTCTTGGCAGATGATCCAGAAGTGGTTTGCCATTGCCTTCTGTAGAGTAACCCTGAAAAAAATTAACACTTGTAAATACCTGGGATGCAGTACAGTAGGGCCCCGCTTTTCGGCGATCCGTTAATATGGCGCTTTTCAATTGCGTACATATACAGTAGGGCCCCACTTTTTTGGCTCCACGTGCTCAACAACTGAGTCAGAAAAGTGTGTCTGGCACCATTTTCTCGTCGTTGATTCAGTCTGTTTATAGCTTTTGTGCACTCTGCGTCTCTCTGTATTTCTGACAATTTTTCAAAGTTATTACGTACTGTATATTCCTTCATCCTTCCTACAATAAACATATTAATTTTCAAATTTATATTCACCAATCACTATAAGCTGAGGACGAAAATATTTTAAGGTAAGCAATGTGTGTACTACTGATATTCATTTTACTTTCATATCGTTTTCTTAGGCCTAGTGTTATTGTGCACTTACTATATGATAGTGTAAACGTCTTATTAGGCTTTGATATGCATTTGCAAGTGAGAAAAGGCAAAAATCTGCTTTTCAGCGATTTTCGCTGTTCGGCAGGGGTCTGGTCCCTAACCCACCGTATCTGCGGTGCCCTACTATATAAATTTTAACCTTTTAATTATTTTAACCCGTTGTCCATCCTAACATAGAATGTAGTAATATTTCGCTTCTAACATAGTAAACTCAGCCATAGAATTTATTTATTTTATGACAGTGCAAGTATAGAACTAAATGCATCTTGCGTCAGGGTAGGCAGAGAAGGCCGAGCTAAGACCACGTTATCACGTTTCATCATGCTCATATGCATGTTGTGTTACAGGATCCAAAACATTGATAAAATGTTCTGATTTACTTCTGGCCTGTATTATATGCTTTATTTTACTTGTAAGCATATTGCAGTATGAAGGTCTGTTGACACATGTTCTATATTTTATCTTTTCAGAACAGTTGTGCTTTTATTCTAAACTATGGCCAGTATATTTCTTCCTTGATCCCTTCAATGTAATGTACCCATAATTCATCCCAGGCTGTATACTGTTTAGAAAATGATTCCCATCAAAGAAACATTAAAATGAAACACTTTCACGTCTGTGACAGTGTTCAAACTGTGGTCCATGAATGACTCTGTAAGCAGTCAAAAACTTTTTCTCTCAGAAAAAATATAAACATTAGTTTCACAATAGAGAAAATCAAGTGTGTTGTAGATAGTATTGAAAAGTAAGAGATTTCCTTAACCTATGCTGAAAAGTAATATTTAACTGTTTATATTTTTGTCTCATAACCAAGTGAATTAAGTACTTCTGTAAATTTCATTGATAAATTTTATTGAAAGTATTGTAGGATCCACATTACTTCTGGTAAATAAGTTACACATCACAATAGAGATGTTTATATGCTGTTCAAGTTTGGTTCATACTGTTTACAGGATGTGAGTTCACAATATGAACTTGTTTGTCCCATAATGTTTGTCATGGTGAATTGTGTAAATTGCCACCGTTCAATGCGTAAGTTCCTGCGTCAGCGTGTACTTCCTCCTCTGACAGAAGTCCATTCTCGGCCTGAAGAGGGAACTACCCTCCGTAATAAGCTGTGTCGGCTACTCACTTCGTGTGTTATGCAAGTTCGTGATTTAGCTGATCAGTTCCTCTTCATCCTTTGCAAAGAAAATGGTGAGTATGATGTGTGTTAACGAAATAGAGGTTGTTTAGGTTTTACATTTTTAATGTGCTTGCTAATTATTTCTTTGCTGGGAGTGGGGCTATGAATTTCCTTAGCTTGTGAATGTTTCAACATATTTTATTGTATACAGAGTGATTCAAAAGGTTAGGGCCAAACTGAAGGAGTGTATAGAGAACAACTTTTGAATAGGAATCCATGTCCTCCAAAGTTATCCTGAGCCAGTCGAGGCCATTGAAGGTAGGGAAGTCTGATAACATACCGATCAAATAATTGTACTTTGCTATTCTCATACTAGCTTAATTTTGTTCTTTTTATTAATGTACAAGGATTACATTAGCAATGTTACAAACCAGGAGCTTCTGCGCTCACAAATAACCAACACGAGACTACAAAAGCAGCAATACACCAGTCACTGTCAACTCAGAAACATAATGTAAACAGCCCAGGGCCTCTGTACATGTGATTCAAAATTAAGCTAGTAGGAGAATAGCAGTTTCTTTCATATTAGAGATTTAAGGCAGTGTGGGTTATGAGCTGCTCAGCTGCCCGAGCATGGTGGAGGGGCTGCCTCCTTTGGCCTCCAGGCTGGCCGGACTGCTTCTTTGCTTGCCCCTTCTCCTCAGACCTTACTGGCATGGGTGGCCCTACCAGGATCATACGTTCAGCCGACATCGCTCTTCGAGTCATTAGGGGACTGATCCCTCCCACCAACATTAAGGTCTTGCAGTCCCTAGGGAACTGTAGGAGAATAACAAAGTATGATTATTTCAGCAGTATGTTATCAGACTTCCCTACATTCGATGGCCTCGACTGACAGGATAACTTCGGAGGACAAGGATTCCTATTCGAAAGTTGTTCTCCCTGAGTCCCACTATACGCTTCTTCAGTTTGGCCCTAACCTTTTGAATCACTCTGTATATACTCCATGTTCATTGTATAGGTCTAAATGCGTTAAAATAGTTAATTCTATTTTAAAATCATGAATGAAAAGTGTCACATGAGCATAAATACAATATTATTGAAACCTCTTATTTAGTCTTTCTTGAGGATTTTTGAAAAGTTATAAGTTGTATATTTCTATAAATTAGCACATTAACAGAGCTAGTGCTCCACTTGCATAGATATGAAAGCAAGAGAGAATATTCAACATAATTCACTGTGAATGTAGTTTTAGATTTTCTGTGTAAAAGTAATATTACATGTTTCACTTGTCAAATCTTACGTAGAAAATAGTGAAAATTAGTTTGTAAAGTGTAATAACCGTGTAGCAGTTAGGTGCTCAAAATTCAGTAATCCTTTATTGATATAAAATTTCATACACTGGTTCCATTATGTGTAGTATTTACAGCAGTAGTTCTCAAAATTTTCTGTGTGTTGACCATCTGCACTGTTAGAACTTCCCTTAAATTTATATTTGAATGAGACTTCATTTTATCAGACTCCCTTGAAGTGATGTCTGGATCCAAGCTAGATTTTTTGTCTTACACTGGATCTACATTTGGTTTCATATAGAGCTGTTTCTGTTTGTTACAGTGATGCGTATGGTGAAGTATACAGGATATGGAAATGCAGCAGGGTTTTTGGCGAGGAGCGGTGCTATGCTTGGTGAAAGCAACAACTTGTCTTCCACCTCAGGGGCACAGTATTCATCTGACAGTGAAGATAGTGACACAGAGGAATACAAAAAGTTCAAATCCCAGTAAGTACTGAATGTTATTACAGATCTTGTCAGTTAATTCAGAGTGAATGTTCATTGCCTTTTAATTTTTTGTTATGCAGCCCCACACTCTTACTCGAAGGTATCGATCAGTGTTTGGTTTGTACTACAAAAGATGTATGAACTAGTGACCTTTGTGTATTTCGTTCTTTTTTCCTGCATCATCCGCCTTATTGCATACCTTAATTTCTGGTACTCCATTACAGTGTTTTTACACAGGTTGTATACATTTATGCCAGCAATTGGCTCTTAGTCGGTTACATCCAGCATGCATTGCGGTAGTGCTCTGTTTCCACCCCAAGTGCTTGAAAGATGACACCACAAGAGGCTTTAATAAATTGGGTGGGACTGCATAACATAACAAATTTAGATGCATTGAACATTCATGGTATGCTATAAACAGCAGAATTGGCTGCTTTCTTGACCCCCCTCTCTCTCTCACACGCTGTGACATGCCCACACACTCCTGTTGGTTCACATGTCTTCACCTGATTCTGACACCAGTCACCACTGGTTAGGACTAGGCTATTCCTTAACTGTCTGGTCCCTATAACTCTAGCGCTTTCCGCTCACACGGCTTACTCATCGCCCTGATGATTGAGGTAGCAAGGACCTCTGAAATGTTAGTAAACTTCTACCAGACTACACGGTGCAACAACCCAGAAAACAGCCATCTTCAGAATTGACAAGTCTTTCATATCTTTCTATTTTGTTCCAGTGGAGCAGATATGCAAATATCATATTTGTTAAATTAGAATTCTCTTTGATGTGGCTTCAAGATAATTGTAAGTGTTCCATTTATTGCTTTCCATTAAACCAGAGAAATTTTACTCTCAGCAAGTAACACATCAGTTGTTCTTTGGTATTCTGTTTCAGGAACGCTGGAAGCATTGATAGTTGTTTCGGTTTAGACAGCTGTTATCTTTCTTTTTCTATATTATATAAATATATAATTTAAGACCAGAGTGGTCACACTTCTTCAGTGATGATCGTAACCGGAGCAACATTAAGCTCTTCATTACTGTAGTGAACCTATCTTGCCACATGAACAATGAAAAGTCAAAGTTCTAACCCTGCAGGTCTGACATACTGACTTTTTTTCCAGATACCCTTCCAGCATCAGGTTCTTTGTAAGTGTTCTAAGAAGCAGTTTCGTAGAGATTTCCCTGAACCCTCCTTCAGTACATCCCATGTGCACATACTCATAGCAGTATCTAACATTTTATGTATCAGATGATGAGAGTAGGATGTGGTATATTTTTTCATATAAAACAATTATTAAAAACTTAAAGGTACATAAAATAAATTTAATTAAAATCATCCTTTATAGTATTCCTTGACACTTCAAAGCATCTGCTACTTCCTCACTATGATACTTAACAGTCATTTTACAATCAAATCAGGATCAACATTATGACGGGATGTTGCGAGAAACCTCATCCTGATCCCATGGAATCCATGTCAGAGGAGCAGAAAGAATTTGAAGCATTAGAGCTAGTTAAAAAGCTGGATAAACTAACCAGGTGAGTTTTATCTTTAAGAGAACAAATTTAGTTAATGGTGAACACTATATTCTTTTGAAAATAAAAACACAGTATGTTACTTTCTTCAGTCATTTCTGTTATAATGTTCTGTCACTTTAATTTTTCTTCTCTCCCTTGCAATGGTTTGTTTATTTTAGTTTAATTCAGTTATAAACATATAGGAGGAGCTCTTGCCTTTCCTACTGCTAAAAGTAGTCGTCTTATTCGTTGGAAGCTAATGAATTTATTGAACACGATCGCAACAGTCCCAAGATAAATGTTTGCTGTGCTCTCTCCCATACCCGTGTGATTGGACAATTTTTCTTCCATGAGAACACTGTGAAGGCTACAAATTATCTAGATATGCTTGAATTGTATGCTGCACCTCATCTTGAGGATATGCAGCCCCATGTGTTCTTTCAGCAAGATGGGACACTGCCACACAGGGAATTAGAAGTGTGCAGGTTTCTCAATGAAAAGTTCTCTTCTCGTCCGATAAGACAAGATGGCCCTATTCCATGGCCTCCTCACTCCATGGATTTCTTTTTATGGGGCTACAATAATGACAGAGTGTATGCAAAGAACGTTAGTAACATCTCAGAATTAAAACACTGGATTGAAGAGACTTTAGCTTCAACCACGCAAGACATGCTTCTTAATGTTTGGAATGAAATCATCTATTGCCTTGATGTTCTGCGTGCTACTAATGGGGCTCACGTGGAAGTTTACTGAATTCTGGTTTACTGAAGTATTGACTTAACTGTGGTAGTCTACTTAATTAAAACAAAAATGTCTTGAGTTGTGTAATTAATCACTGCAAACCGTTTTAAGATTGCTCCTAAAATAACGAATTTATTAAGGCTTACAATGGGGTGAATAATATATGGACACCTGTACTGCCGCCATCAACTCTTGTGGAGTAACATGCACTATATGCATACAGTTCCTGCTTTGTGCTTTCACGCTGCAGATAGTCTTTAAATGACATGAATTCTACTTTGCATATCTTTTGTTGGCTTTCATTTGATTTATTTATCTACCAGGTTTTTTCTCTCTTTCTCATTAAGTAAAGAATTGTGAAATTGTCAGTTTTAGATCAGCTGTTTGTAGACATTGTGTCAGTCAGTCATGTGGACTCACCCAGATATCAGAATTATATTTATTACGAACTTTCCTTTACTTTTTTTTATTTTTATATACATATATATACAAACTATTCCTCTCCTCTAAGAAAGAGAAGGGATGGAAATAAAAAAATACAGAATTTTGATCATTCCGAAAGTCAGTGTAACTTTGCATGCATAGATTTAAATCACCAGTGAAACTTCTCCTAAAGCCTGAGATTGATATCCTCCCCGACATGACTTTATAACGTGTATAGCAATTTATATAGTTTTTATATTTTAAACAGAGATGGCATCATGCAGCCCTGCCGAATTGGAGAAGATGGCCGTCCAGAGCCAGTGGGTCATGTCTTGGAACTTATTGAAAATTTATCTCAACTGCAGATCAAGCCATCAGAAGATGATTGATTGATTTTGTTTCTCCTGTTTGATCACACTATAATTCATAACTGATATCACACATTCGTTTAATTTACAAAATTTGTATGAAATATTTGGACTTTGTCTTGAAATTATGTATTCACAAGATACATAGGTTTAGCATCCAAAAATGTTTTCCTTCACTAAGGAAATCCAAATTATGGTTCCTTTTCTTAAAGCCTCACTTCTCTGTGCCTTTTTTCAGTTACTTGCCACTTTTACAATATTGTAACTGTTTGTATAGTGAAATGATGGCAAATTGAGGAGAAATGGCCCTGAAATATTGGATAAAAATGTTGGATTTGAGGTTTTCACGGCAGAGAGTCTGAACATTGCTGTCTTCTGGGTTGTTGCACCATGTGGTCTGGTAGATGTTTACCGATGTATGATGAAGGCAGCAAGGACCTCTAAAATATCAGTAAACATCTACCAGACTACACAGCGCAACAACCCAGAAGACAGCAATCTTTATGCTATAGTCAGTTTTGTTGTATTCAAAATTAATCAAATAAAAGATGATGTAAGGTTCCACATGCCTGGATAAGTGAACTGAAAATTAAAAGAATTCCAGCATTGATATAGTAATTATGTTCTCTAAAAAGGTGCTTTAGTAATAAAAGTTTCTGCGTATCCTTACAAATTTTAACTGGGTTTCTGAAAATTAACCCAATGAGGCAAAGTGAATCCAAGCTGATTCTGTCAAGAGACCATCTCATAATCACCTTTCTTTCACCAGTGATACCACAGTCTGATTTAAATAAAGGTGTTTAAATGTGAAAGGGTTATTCATTATAATATTAAAATATTGTTTATAAGATTGATGGGATATCCATAGCTGCCCAGTTATTTATTTATATGTTTGATTATTGTATAGTATGTAAACATACTACATGTCATGTTTGTAAACAAATACAGAATGTATCAAAGGTTAGCTGTAAGTATGAAAGCATGTATTGGTTTTTAAACTCTCCACCCCTGCAGAGAAGGGATAGGATATTTCTTACAGCCATTTGTACTTTAATGTGATTTTCACCCTTTTCTGTTCTTACAAATCAATCTATGGAAACAGATTATTTAAGGATTGCATTTGATGGCTTTATTATGGCATTCAATTCATTGTGCATGGGTGTGAATAATATAACAAAATTAGTTTTTGATGTATTTTAAAGTTAAAATTGGGAACAATTAATGTATACACTTACTCAACAGCTAAGTTTGTTATTTACTTCTGCAACCATTTGTTGCACTACCCACAGATTGAATTTTAATCTTCTAAACTTCAGTTGCCTTTGTGAATATTTCTGTAGTAATAGTAAAAATGGGAGGTTATCGACTTTTATGTTGTACAAATCCTTAAAGGTTTAGTGTGCCAATTCTGCTCCAATTCAGTAATTGATACTTTTGTAAAACCATGACAGAGAGAGAGAGAGAGTGTGTGTTTTTGTTTGTTTGTTTTTCCCCTCTCCCCTGTCTGACGACAGGTCCATATGAACAGGATCCTTCCATCCTTTTCTCGGACTGGGACCTGTTCATATACGTTCTTGGCAGATGATCCAGAAGTGGTTTGCCATTGCCTTCTTCTGTGAGTGAATGGAGTAATTGTTGGGATGGCACGGAGAAACCGGGGAAGCCCCCGGAGGAAAACTCCGTGTTGCCTAGACCACGGCCTTGCCCAACACAAGTTATAAATTCGGGCACCACCGGGAATCGAACCCGAGACCCCAGGATTACAAGGCCAGCGTTCTAACCACTAGACCACCGTGGCTATACATTTATCACTGGATTTCAGGTTCATCTCCTGAGGGAGGGTTTTTTGGCTTTAGCACACAGTGTAATAAAAGTGATTCAAGAGGACAGACATATAATTGGTATTCAGATGATAAAATGTTGCAGTGCGGTCCATGAGTTGGGGTTCATACAATTAAAGAACATGAAGTCTAGGCATTAGCTGCAGTACAGTCTATAGGCAGCCATCACAGAAGCTGACGATCTAATAAGGGATAACATTCCCAAGAGTAAGTATGAACAAGTTTTATTAACAATTTATACATAAGTGCTCTCAACACAATACTTCTGTTTAAAAAGACATTTCTGATGAAACATGTCCTTTCTATTTGTTAACTTTGAAACAATTCAGACACCTTTTTGTCATGTGTAACATTGCTGTCTGTTTTATCTTTTAGTTAACTACTGTGAATATAACGTTTGATAGCTGAGCTAAACAAATGCTTCTTTTGGTGGTGGCGGTTTATCAAACTCTCCTAGCTCTTCATCATAATAGGCAGCGGCACGCCATGGTTTCAACTCCCATGGCACCTGGTCCTCCATCTTGGTAAGTGTGACACCCAGATCTTCTAGTGTTGGCACCCCAGGAAGTACGGTGTCAGTCGTATGTTGCTGCACAAAACAATATCAATAGACAGATAATTTCATGTGAAATCATGCTAGAATATGCTTATACCATTAATAAACATTAATTGATTACTTCTCTGGATTCCATTCTCATCATGAGACAACTCTGAGGCAAATGCATTTGTTTGCTGTCCATGTAATATTTACGTAAGATCCATATTAATCTTTCATATCTTGGTTTTCTAGGTTTTGCCACAAAATTTCTGTGTGTATTCTTTGTCTCCCCAGTGTTCATTACATAACCTTGATTGTCAGTACGTAGCCAGTCACTATATTCACAGAGTTTGCTCTGTTTTTAATTTAAAAGTGACATTTTTGTGTAAGAGCTAATGTGATTTTTCTGTCATTCACATGTCTGTTTATAAACAAAATTACAGAATAAAATATATAATCCATTACATACAGTAAAAAAACAATTGATGCTGTTCAATACTTGTACCTGTTCTAGTCCTTCAAAGTGCAGAAGACCAAAAGGCCAACCAGGTGAGATGTTTTGCATAAACAATGTCTTGGCTAAAAATATGGGGTCAAATCGCATGTCATACCGGAAGTAACCCCACTTACGGTCCCTGCGCATTACTGCAAAGAACCAATCGACAAGGTCTCCCAGAAAATAACGCTTGGGCCTGATAGGAAGAAATAAAAACAATGCATGTAAGTGCTGAAATAAGATTTAACACATTCATCTGAATACAAGACGATACTTCACCCAAAAGTTGTCAGTCGAGAATAAATGCTAAGAAATCTCGTAAGTTATGATTACTGAATAGAAAATTAAAAATCATGTACAGCTAAGATCTATTACCATACGTTTTCAAGGTCCATGTTTGTATTGAAGAAGAACATTGAAAATTTGAAGGTGACATGGCTTCTAATGTTATTAAGTTCACATAAAGTTTCACAAGAACTTGGTCAAATGATTCTAAAGTTACTTGAAACAGAAATGATATCATATGGCCCACTTTATAAAAAAATTAAAACTATATAAAACAAAGTTAACCCATTGAAAATAAAGCTTGTCTGAATTATGTTAAAAAATTCAGTTCATACCTTTAAAAAAATCACCACGTCAAAGGTCAGCTTGTTAATGTATAAGGAAACAATCCCTCTTTACAGTATCATATGAAATCAATAAGTACAAAATACACAGTTATGAATTGTTAAAACAGGTGGTGCATATAATTACCATTGAACTTTTAAGGGATTAATGAATACAGTGACATTCAGATTGAAGTATAGAAGGTACCATACCCAACAGCTTGGTATGTCTTGCCTACAGCATCAGGATCCTTGATAGCGTTTACAATTGCAATTGCGACATCGGACACAAAGACAGGCTGCTTTACTGTGTCTTGTCCCTTTCGCCACAGCGGTATTCCTCTCATCTGGTTGCGCAAGGATTTAGTATATGAGCTGCCAACAGACAAGATTTCAATTTTAACTAGGTGACAGTGGCTGGTTGAAAACAAGACAGGAAACATGTACTTTCTGGATTATACTGACATTTCAAAGGTGTTCTTTATGTAACATTGTGTAGGTCAGAGGTCGTCAACCTGGTCCCTACCGCCTACTAGTGGGTGATTCAAGCTTTCGCGGTGGGGTTTTTTTGTCCGTTACAAATTTTGTTCTTCCTTCATATATCGAATACATTGCTAACAACTTTGCGAGTTTGACTTTTTAAAGTATGCTTTTGCAATTTACTTTTGAATTACATCTCTAAACTTTGAATATAGATAATAATTCACCAGACACTTCTCGAAGTATACTCGTGGACGAGGGAGCAACAAATGAGCTCCGTAGCCAAAGGCACGAGTTTAGTGTGCATAACGAGGGCGGCCATCACTCAGTCTTCGAGCTGTACCTCTTTCATGGTGGTGGGCAGTACGTGCGGCACCGGTGGGCAGTAAGGTAATTATACCATCAACAAAGATACAAATGTGGGCGGTAGGTATAAAAAGGTTGACGACCCCTGGTGTAGGTCAGGATGAAGAGATTGATTGGAGGCGAGACAGCGGAGAGTAGATTGGAGTCGAGTTGGAGTGGACGAGACCCCCACCGGCACAGCCTGAAGAGAGGTAGGGACGATGCTTGCGCTTGCGCAGGCCTCCGCCCTCAGTTAGCTTTTTGGTTGTGTCCAGTGGGACTCGTGCCGAACGAGGGCTGCCAGAGGTCGCCCAAGGGCAACCGAGGCCGACCGATGTTCACCCCACCCCGATCACGGAGGCCATCAGCTGAAGTGATCTTCCCCCCATGCCGCAGAGGCCTTCAGCCGAAACGGCCCCTCCCTCTCTGGGTTCAAACCCCGGAGATCCAACCAACCAAATTCCTTTGGACAACTTGCCTGACGGGATGACCTCCCATCAGCAGCAACGGATCCCAGTTTGAATGGTCGAGGCTCCCGCCACGACGTAACCCTGTTAGCGATAGCAAAATTTCCGTTTCTTATATTAAGACTGTTTACCATTTCCAGCAATGCGCCTTGTGCGCAGGAATGGTTTCACCTAGGTAGGGACGATGCTTGCGCTTGCGCAGGCCTCCGCCCTCAGTTAGCTTTTTGGTTGGTTGGTTGGTTTGGTGTAGGTCATTGTTGTACCAGTGTGATCCCAGGCTATTGTTGGATGATTTTAAACTATGAGACCAGAGGTCCCAATGTTGCAAAATATGTGACAGAATGGATGGGCCATAAGATATTCTTTGCTCACATTATCAGTGTGAATAACGCACAACTTTACATCTGTATTTAACTTTTCATACGAGTATAGGAAATGTAAACCCTGAAACCAAGGTGCTGCTGGCCTGACTATCTCTAGGGTTTTGAACTTGCTGTGATATGGGATGATTGGATTGTACTAAGCAGTGAAGTGCAGACGATAAAGGTTAACAAACTACACCACTGGATTACACAGCATTCACACAAATCTAAGACTCCCTATAATCAAAAAGTAAAAAATAAGAAAAATTTATTCTACACATAATCATAATCATATTCATTACCTCAGTAAAATCAAATTTTCACAGCAATGCAGTTATGAGCAGATACATATACAGTTAATCCATGGTTCACAACTGACAAAAGCACAGCAAAGAATCAGTATTTGTTTCTTGCAATGCACTCTCATGTTACACAGTACTAAGTTAGGACAAATAAGTGGTGGTGTTGAAGCCAGGCAATCTTTTTTTTGTCTCGCACGCGTGTGAATACATATTCATAAGACTACAATAAGTTTGCAATTTCATTATTTCAGTACAGTTTATTTTAAGAAAGCCGTGTTTTTGCTGATAATAAAATAATTTACCGAAGGAAGCGATCTTCTTGTCCAAATATTACACCTGGCCGGAAGACAATAGCTTCTGGAAATTCTTCCTTCACAGCAAGTTCTCCATAGTACTTGCTTTGTAGAAATTTGGAGCCATTTTTGAGAATAATAGGCTGTAATATACAAAATAATACACAAATGCTTAAGTTTTTATTGATGATGTGTGTGAGTCATGTCTTCATGTCATAGCCATTTCTGTTAACCTTTTGCTATCCACTATCAAATGAGGAAATGGCAACTTCAAAGTATCAATTCAGAAGTCTGAAGAACTGTTGTACAATTAGATTTAATAGACTGATTTCTAGTTACTCATTAAAAGTGATCCCTTTTTTAAACTATTATTACACATAAGACCATACTGATGATTAGGGACCCATCTGTGAGCATACCCCTGTGAATTTTGATTTTATATACTCACAGCACCTGTCTATAGTCAGAACTAGGATTAAATGGAAACCTGCCTTTATCAGAAAATTATTTCAGCAGCACAATTTCCTCAAAAAAATGGACTGTAATTAAATTTCCAGACCATGCATTCATAAATAGTAAACAATACTTCACTGGCCACATTCCCAAAAAATAAATATGGTATTCTGATGATGGCATGTGAAAAATGAATGAGTCTCTGCTTTGTATTTTGCATGATTTACTTATTTTTCATAATAAAGAAAGTCATTTGAATTTCTCCACATAAACTTTAACATAAAATGAAGACAAAACAGAAGAATAAATACAGGAGAGGGCAATACAGACAGGCAGACATATTTGCTAGTGTATAACATTCTGTTTAACACCACTTATGCAACATACAGGAACACAATCATATTTTAACATACATGCCTTACCTTTGGGTTACTGCTAGCATTCAATGCTGATACATGAACAAATTTTTCTACTCCTGCTTCTTTCGATAATCGAGCAAGGGTCCTTGCTCCTTGTACATGGACATCATGAAATGAGAAATTTCTGGTTTCCCAATCGCGCCCAACCAGGTTGATCACAACATTTGAATACTGAATCGCCTTGTAAATTGATTCTTCATCCCGTAAATCATATGGTACAAACAATACTTGTCCCAAATCACCAACCAGCTTAAGACGAAGATTGTCATAATGATCACCACGGTATGGTAAAATTAGCTGGAACATATAAAAGATATTGGATATCTTAAGAAAATGATCTTCTCTGTTAATAAATTAGTTTCTAAAATTATTCAATTTATTAAGTTGCGTATTATTACTGTCAGTATACTTGGTGTCTGCACTCTTTTACAGTGGTTTTGACCAAGCTTCAAGGCAGCCCTAGTGAAAATAACGTATTCCCCTATATTAAGTAATGACATAACATGTTACATATGAAAAGGAATCAAACAATGTGAGAATAATGACCATAAAATTAATTTCATTGACATTATGTAAATACACAAAACGTAAAGTAGTTAACTGTACCACTCGAAAAGTTGTAAAACATTATAAAGAATATAGGCAAGAAATTATAATGCTTCCAATTTTAAAAATTGTACCTGTGTTCCTATTTTGCCAAGACGATTACAGACATACCGACCCACAAAACCTGTTGCTCCAAATACAGTTGCAACAATGCCATTGAAACTGGATCTTCCACCAGTACCTCTTTTAAGTGCAGATAAACTTGGATTGTTTATGGTTCGGACATCAGTGGAATATGTTGCATGAAGGTAGGTGATGGTTGCTGCAGCACCAACTTGGTGTTCTAGATATAAAAGAATAATTCAGCTTAATAACGGTTGAGATCACTGGAAACAATACATTTAGGGTGTTTTAGAGCAGTAATCTTCTTCACTGTTAGTGAGATTGAATTGCCTAAGCAATGTGTGAGAAATGCATACAGGATTTAGTCGTGAAACTTACAGAGAAGAATCTACTTGGGAGGGTAATATTAAATTATAAAGCAACAGTATTTATGAGATTCAATTGGTTCAGGTTAAGATCCTGTGGCAAGCCCTAGTGACCAGGGTGATAAAATGTTTTGTTAAATAAAAGACGGAATTTTTAACAGCCGAGCGACTGTCAGATTTTATGAAAGGAACCACTCATACTGTTAAAGTTGTTTGATATTTTAATCCCCATAAAACAGTTATTTTGCCTTACTTGCAGCCTGCAACGTATACTGCAAACTCAAAGCAGCCATATTTACACCCACAGGTAATACCAACCTAATTTACACAAGTAATCTAGTGACCTGAACAGATGTTGGGCAAATTCTATTTTACATTCACGCATCTGGGGACTAACAGAATAAAAAATTGACAGTGGAACCACGGTTCCGGAGAATCTGACGTAAGTACGTCTCTGTAATGTAATGTAATAATTTTTATATAAGATAAGTACTTGTGATATTCTAAAACGTTTTTACCAGCATAAAATTATCTAGTCTACGACGCACTTCTACAAGCGATTCACAGCTCAGCTCTTTCCATAATAACGAAAGCGGATTGATGACGGCAGTAATGTAACACAACAATGACGAGTAAACAGATGACGTAACAATTAGTTTCTTAGGTAACAACAATACACGCAAGCTGACCATTGTCGGTCCATATTTACACATTGTTGGTATGGATCTTACACATCTTCGTTACGTTTTTTTGCCGAATGACCCTTCCGTGTAGACGTATTTACGGCAAAATATTATAGAATACTATCAATCATAGATTACCTGAATTGTAACATTGGCAGATCTGGTTTTCAGAATCTATAATAATTCGATTGTGGATTTCACAAATTAACGCTAGAGGTCGGTGGTTGTAATATGGTACGTATAAAAATTATGGCGTTGCCATAGATTAAAACTAAATTTGAATGTTACAATGGTTTATCACGTGTGCGACATCAAAATATTTTAAATGTGAGATCTAGTACTATATGTTTATAACATTAAACATCTCACTAAATTCGATCAAATTGTAAGAGATAGTGTTGTTTTGTGTAGTTTTAATCATGTATGTATGAATACAGAAATTATACTTGATAATTTTGCATTATTTTTGCTGACAGTGTAAGAATGGGACAAGCTGGAAGTTCAGATAACGTAATCCCTGAAACGGTAGAGAATATACAAGAAGACATTTGTCGACATGCAAGAGTGTTTTCCGAAATTGCTAGTTTGACATATCAGGATTTTCAGTCTTGTCTTGGAAAGTTGAATACACTGTAAGTAAATAATAAGTTCTATGACTACTGTTTTAAAATAAAATTGTTTACAGTGGAAAGCATCACTAATACTACATTGTTGTACCAGTTTCACATTTTTCTTGGACGTTGGGGAAATTATTCAATTCAATTCAATTCAGTTCATTTATTAAAGTGCTTGACAACAGCCGAAACGGCCAATAACAGCCAAGCACTAACAACAATACAAATCTTACAATACTAAAGCAAACAAACAATATTAATTTATTGCAAAATAATTAATAAGTAAATGAGCTAAATGTTATGGATAAGTAAATTAAAAATTAAATTAAAATCACTTCAATTTTGGACAAACAACATACAAAATAAATTATTATACTAAATAAATAATAAAAAAGAACAATGATTATTGTTTAAAGAGCTGACTGACATCAGTAAGCAAAACAGGATCTTTGTTAAAGATGTCGATGCTCCTACAGACTGCACTGGCAGCAGAAACGCATCCGGCAGAGGGACTAGCCTTGAAATTACGTTGTACAGTAAAGGTAGAGTAGTCTCTGATAGACCTAGTGGGTACGCAGAGACTAACTGTATCAATAAAATATGAGCAACTAATTTTGCCTTTAAAAACATTAATGAGGAAAAGCGCATCCAAAAGCTTCCTCCTTAAATGCAATGATAAAAAATAATATATCATCATAATTATAGGCACAAAC